CTTCAGTACAAAAGTAATGGACCCATCTTTTTTTTTTTTCTTTTTTTTTTTTTCCTTTTTTCTTTTTTTAATTTTTTTAAGTACTGGCCATATTAAAAACATCCTACCCTGAAGCAGGCTTACAATATACACATCTTACAACGTCTTCCTAGAGAACGTAACACACTATTGACATCTCTAATAGCTACTGGTTAGGAGGTGCCGGGTGTTCCCGACAGTATCGCTGCTGCGCGGCCGGCGAGGAGATGCCCAGCCAGAGGGAGCGAGAGGAGGAGATGTCACTTCCCCAGCGAGCGAGCGGGCACCGAGCCACCCGCACCAGCGCAGGACGACCAGGTTTTAACTTCTAGCAGCTAAATAAGGTGACAACCGCTGCCCGGCGAGTGACGATGGCTTCGTGTGCCTGGAGCGGAGGGGGAGGTTTGCAAAGGGGAACCTCGGCTCGGAGGCGGCCCCCCCCCTGCCAGCGAGTCCCAGAGAGACTTCGGAAGGCTCCGGCCGCGCTGCCAAGCAGTCCTTTAATTACAGCTTCCTCTGCAGAGGAGGAGGAGGAGGAGGAAATAGTCTCGTAGTCTTCACCAGCGGGCAGCGAGCGTGAGGCTGGTCGGGCAGCCGCAAGTACAAGCCACCCGCCTCCTCCCTGGCAGGACGGCGCCTTCCCTGCTCAGCTCAAGTCGTACCTGCTTATGGGGAAAAGCAACCGGCCCTGAACAGGCGAGGAGGGGGCGTCCTCAGGATGACTGAGCTCAACGGCCCAAAGCCAGGTGAGAGCTGTCAATACCGCATCTTCCTCCTGCGCCTGTCCAAACAGGCAGACTGTGCGAACATACACAGGCAAGCAGGACAATCTTTGTTCTCCTGCAGTGTTTCATAAATCCTCATCCATCTGCTGCGTTATTAGTAACAGGAGGGGTTTTGGTGGCCGTGGTGGTTGCAGGGTTTTTGGTGGCTGTGGAGGCTGCCGGCGCTGGGGGGGGCGGGGGGGGGGGGGGGGTTAGCAACGCACGGAAACAAAGAGAAAAATGCATTGAAACGTGCATGAAAACAGCAGCAACACACAGGAACAGGGGTCCAGGTGAGGCAAGTTCCCTTGCTTGCTTCAACTGACAAACCCCGGCACTATCTGCCAAGGATTTGATTAGCACAGCAACGACTAGTACGGGTGCCCTGCTGCTGAAGCCTGCACGGGGGTTATCTGAGGATCATCCATCGTTTGAAACGCGCTACGCAGTTTGAAAGAAGCACCACCAGGCCCCAGCGCGGCAGCCTGCAGGCAAGGGAGGAAAGAGCCCGCCCGGCCAGAGCCACCGGCCAGAGCCGCCGCCCCTTCCCCAGTCCGCAGGGCCGCGGGCCGTCCGCAGGGGAGAGCAGTTCGCTGTCGCCAACCGCCCAAGGTAAAGGATTGTCACAAATTAGTGAGAACAGCATGAAAACGCCGCAGTCTCTCCAGAGGCGCTCTAGTTTTGAGGTCTCCCTCAAGACCGTGTAGTGCTGAAACAGCAAAGCCTCAGGGAAAAGGCCACTTTCCATAACTTTTTGAAGGCGGCTGCACGCGCCGTGGCTGGCGGGAGGGAAGGCGCCAGGCACGGGCTGGCCAAGCCCCGCTGTCGCAGCGGCGCTGCCGGGCAGGCGTGGCAAACCAGCTCGCCTCGACTGCTGAGCTAGAGCAGAAGAGGATGGGCCACACAGCCCTCGACTGTGTCTTTTTGCAGGATTATCTCCTCACAACAGGTATAACCACAACCAGAGCCACTTGTTTCCATGCTTCTGACTGGTGGAAAAGCATCTACATTCATTACAGTCAAAAAAAAATGCAAGTTGTTAGATAGGATTAATCAGTAAAGTGAAAAATGACTAGCCACAGACAACCTACAAATGAAACTGGTACACCAGTTAGTCTGGTACGGGGTAGCAGCAGAATCACTAGCACAAGGCAAAACATGAGCTTTGAAATGATTTTACTGAGACCTTTGGCTAGTGTGGCTCCAATTGGCGTGGTCAAACTCAGCCAGAAATTTAGTTTAGAAGGTCACGGGGAAGAGAACAGAAGAGTCCAGAGCCAGCTCCGCAGCTGCACTATGTGTAGAAGATGATCTCTGGGATTTGTCCATCCTCCACGGAAGTGCCGTTGTTATTCCCAGCCGCGTAACAGAACGTAAAGCAGGTTTTGGCTCCCGTTGTTGGCGATTCATGGATCACTTTGCGCAGTCCTTTGGTTCCGTAGTGGGAATCTGGACCCTGCGATGGTCACAGAAGACAAGAACAGATCAAGACAGGGATCGCAGCCCCGCAGGAACCTGCTGCCCAGGCACACTCTGGGAGGTTTGGCCTCACAGCCTGGCCCGAAACAACGAGCTTTGGAGATCTCAGCACCTCCCTTCTCTTCCTGGTTCTTGCACCTCAGGTATTTTGAGCAAAGCTCTCGCCTCTATCAGAACTTGACGCTACGTTTAACCAGGTCTCAACAGTTAAATATCAACTTTTTTAAGCCATGGCAGGCAGGCTCTGGATTACACGCCCGCAGAACTGACAGCTTATCTGTATACACCAAAAAAAAAATCCCACCACTTCATCACTAACGTAGCCTGTTAATTACCGTGCACTTGCAAGACAAGTTAAAAACCAACTCCGAATGCTGGTGGTGAACGTACACATTGCACCACCAGGTGAAGGACTATGGAGCAGACCTTCGAGATTATACTACAGGCCTTGAAAAATGCAGAGCAAGAACCACGTTGCACTGAAGGGACTACAGAAGCCTGCTTTCACCCATCTTTGTAAGCCTCTCTTCCACCCACGCCGCCCCAGGACGGTACCTTTAGAGTAGCACATGCCGTATAGTTGACGTTGGGTAAAATCTCAACAGGTTCCTTGAACATGACCCGGAAAGTGTTTGATGATCCGTCACAGCTGAACCCCGTGTCGTTCTGCCCCAGGACCGTGTTACTGTCTGTGTGGATGATCTGTAAAGACACGTGTTAACTTTTAATCTGCAGGGTTAGTTGAACGCTGCCCTGCACCGGTGCAGGTGTGTGTCCCCTGAACCAGGCTGTATCTGAGGGAGTCAACAGTTTGACCAGCCCCGTTGCGACTGCACTATCCCGTTACTTATGCCCGTCTTCACTGCTGCGATCGCGCCGAACAACTGTGGGCTCGGGTCCCAGACAGCCCAAGACGATCCCTCCTTACCCCGAAGCCTGGCAGAGGACTGCAGGCCGACGTTCTGCGCTCAGATCTTCACTTGCCTTTCTCCTCCAAGAGCTCAGGGGCACTAGAAGGAGACCCTGACAATTAAGGAAGAAGTGCTGACAGACTGTGCTCATCACATCAGCCGTGCTGTGCTGGGGTAACTCTCCTGGGGACAGTTCTTCTCAAGTGATCCAGACTGGGGTTACGTACGCGCATCCAGAACAAGGCACACAAGGCTGCCGCAAGCCGCCCCAGGCTTTGAACAAGATCACAATGGACTTCAGACAACCGAGTCTCCCTCAGTCCTACTCGTCATCTCAAGCGGGACACTGACGACGTGAGGCCGCACATCGGCACTGCACAGGCACAGCAATCGCTTTCTTCTCTTCCCTTGTTGAATCGTGGCTGCTCCACCGCATTTGTGCGGCTCGGAGCAAAAGACGGTCCATGTACTACTGCAGCACCCGCAGGGCAGAACTGGCCCGGCCTGCTCGGTGTGGGAAAACATGCACAGCTTCTTCTCAAACCGCGTCACAACTCTCCGAGACGTATTTTCAAAGGCTGCAAGCGGACTTGGGGAGATATTGCAGTGACGCATGCAACGGGAGGTTGCATAAAAATTGAGAGCAATAATCCCTCTTATCCCCAGTGCCCCATCTGGCCCTCACTGCACCTGCTAACCACCTTATCTAGAAAACAAACACAGTCCCTTCTAACTTAAGATTTTGTTGCATATTCACTAAAATGCGCGCGTTAGTCCCTACAGCAGCAAATATTTTTAACGTAGCAGAGAGATTTACCTGTATATTTACTTGGTAATCCGTTGGCCCATGTATGGATCCGTATAATCCAAACCCAACTACAAATATCCTTTTGTTTACCGAGAACCTGCAGGAACAGATCAGGAAAGTCACACCAACTTGCCACTCCTCTGTTGTTTTAGTACAAGGATGATACACAAGTATCTTCACTCACTTTAATTTTATACCTATGATTTAATCAAGCGTACTACAGTTTTAAGTGCAACTCTTGCCAATAACTGAAATCCTTCACAGAAACCATCATTTGAAAGCTTACACCTTTGACTGTCCTAACGGGCCGGCAATAAATGTTTGCTCGTGTCAAATACAAAGCCGCGCAATCCCATCACCGAACTTCAGAGTTCAGGCTCAGAAAGCGCTTCGAGGTTGCGGTACATTGTCAGCATCCAAAAACGCCAGCCAGGCAAAGGCAGGGTGGCCTGCAGAGCAGGGAACAGTGCCCACGCTCACGGCACCAGCGGTCTTTCCGGCAAGGTAACAGCAAAGACCACTTAAAGCGTCATTCGGTATTTCACTGCTGAGCGCTGGAGGAGAATTGTTAACGTGCTTCTGAGTATTTGCTAGATACAGCTGCACTCGAGATTTGCCCAAGAGCAGAAAATAAGATTCAATAGCTCCTGAAGGCAGGAATCCCTGCTGCCTAAGGCAGCAAGGGGAAGGATATTCACCCCACTGCCCCACTACAGCTCCATCTTCTCAGGTAGCAGAAAGCCTCAGTGCCCACCAAACTGCCAACATAATTTCTTCACCCGTCCACCAACTCTTTCAGTCCTGCATGTTTCAAGAACAAACATCTGCGGCAGGCGAGAAGCCACTGCTCTGCTACCAGCATAAAATACTCAGTGTTGAAACTGCGCACAAGCCTTGCTGAGGACTGACCCTGCTGCTGCCAGCAGTTGAACTTAAAGTCAAACACAAGCTCCAAGAGGTCTCTGAACGTTAGATCTGAGAGCAGTAAGCGTTTGGAGCTAGCAGCTCTTCCAGTTACGATCTCCTGTAAGGGGATGAATGGACCAGAAGATCCAACCGACAGCTCTATCGATATGCAAGAGAGCCACTGACGAAAAGGCTTAAAAATTTTAAAGAACTGTATTAATGCGAGTCCCCCTTCCACCCAGGACAAAGACGAATCGGGAAACAACCAAGGCTTTCCGATTACCTCCTGTCTCGCTCTAATCGCTTGGCCACACAAGGCCAAGCTTGCAAACCACCATTTGCCACGCCACACCTCCACGTCTCTGTCACCATGACTGGGCTTTGCTGTTTCTCTACAAGCTTAGCTCTAAACAAACTACGTATTAGCAGAAGAGCAAGCATTTTATCCTAATCCCTCCCTCAAATAGGCAAGATTAAGGGGCTTCAACAAGCCACATTTACACTTATAATAGAGCAGGGAACCAACCTGATGGAGCAGTGGTTAGTCGACATACCCAGGCACAGGAGGAAGCCGTGAGCTGCCTGGTGACTCCAACCGCTACGTGCCCGTACAGCTGCAGGAAGCCACTTGAAAAGGAGAGAAATAATCCCCCAAGAGGCCTGTGCTGGAGGGCCACGTTTGCTGGAAACCTTTGCCAATACAGAAGCAAAGTGGCAGCTTGCAGCTGCACGTGCAGGTTAACGCATCAGGCAATGCTTTTGCCCAGCAAAACGCTTTCCCTTCAGGGTTCGCACTAGGGTTTATATGGTGGAAGTCAGGGTCTAGCACGTAACCTTGCGGGTTTAGGTCTAGAGGAGGCTGAAAGCTCAGTAAACATGAATCTATCAGCAGCAGAATTAGCAGAGAAGCTGACCTTATCCTGTCACTAGTCCCACTGTACCCCCAGCGGCTCTCCACCTGCTGGAAACGGCTGATGCTGCACTCCTTCCCCCGCAGGCAGCAGCGCGGTCTGTCGATGAACTCCACCCGTGGCTTTGGGTTCACTGTGAAGTGGAGGAACAGGCTCACCACTTCCCGGTCCGTGAGGATTCCCGACTGGGCAGGCCCTGCAAAGGAGCACGAAAGCAGCGACGCCGTCAGCCTTCAGAAACCAGAAGGGATCCTTTTGGGATTTACATGGGGAGGCAAACTTGACTTGCAGCTAAGAGTGGGCCAAACCCACATCACACATGGGATCTCGCTGGAGTGCCGGGAAGTTAAACCCCAGAGAGAAACATGCTGCCTGCCTTTTATTTTCACACCAGTCATGGACGGCAGAGCCTCTGTACGGAGCACGTACACGAAACGGCGATTAAGCGCACAGCTCCACAGAGCCGAAATGCATTTGGCTAACAGGACTGGTTTAAAAACCTAAAACATGCAGCTAATCCTTCCCCCACTCCCTCAGGAGATGGTAATACTGGTAAGAGACAGGGATTTTCATACACCTACACCGGCATTTTATAACATTACTGTTAGAACGTCATGAAAGCCCATGGGGGGTAGTGGGAGGGAGTATCACCTGGTTACCATCAACTTAGAAAGTATAGGAGTATTTTTCAGTCAAGACAAAGGTGGTTCAGCTCATGTCCTGCTTTGACTCCCTCCTCCCCTCAGGCATGTAATCCCTGCTTTGGGCTTGTTTGGTGGGTTTGTTGGGTTTTTTGTGTTTTTTTTTAAATACCTTTATCGTAGAACCTAGGGAAAAACTCTAGCAATTTTAGCAAAAGTTGAAATACGTTCTCATCTTTTCTCCAGTAACTAGATGTTTTTTCCAAAGTGATGCTAAACTCAAGCTTTGGAAACTACTTCGAATACTTTCAAAAGTGGAACCGGGTGAAAACTAGTCTTTTAGCATAAGAGTCAAAAGCTGCTCTGCACCTCTATTTGCAGGAGGCTTTTAACAGCACCAAGACTATTGCATACTGGAGAAACAACAGCACTAAGTGCTCTTTAATGTGGGAAGCAAATGCCTGGCTACTTGTTGGTCCAAAAGGACTTGTAGTTGGTTGAATTCGACATGATGTTACGCAGACATAACACGGTCCAAGGCTGCAATAGGTAGAGATGAAAGAATTTAAGGCAGTCGACTGTTAACAGATAAATGAGCTTATGGATACTTTGCTCAGCAAAAATTAGCCGTCATTGATCATGTCTAAACTTATCCTGTGTTGCTACAATTCAATTCTCAAATGTTTCAAATTACTTGCTCTAAGGGAAGGGAGTGACACATTTGCCAGTTAAAACATCTTCATGCAAAACTCCACGTTCGATACCAAATTATACAACAAACTGGTGAAACCACTGCCTGTAAAAATCTCCCCCCCCCTTTTTTTTTTTGCTTTTGGGAGCAGGGGGCAGAGGGGAGTGGTTTCCCTCTCCTACCTCTGATTTCTTTGGTGATCGCAGCAGAGTCACTCAGAAAAAGGACAAAGTGGAAGCAATTCCAAGGCAGCCCCTTGTTTAAGGAACAGCTGACCAGTGCAGCCTCTCAGGTTTGGGGTTTCTTTTGTTCATCTTTTAGGTTAAAGTGGATGGAGAAAACTTAAAGAGTTTCTCTCAAAGCAAGACAACTAAAGACCCAAGTCGAACAGGCAGTTGTGACAGACAGTATGGGGAGGGGCACTGACATTCCCAGCTCAAAGGCTTCAAACCAAATATGCCAAAATTAACACATTCCTCCCAGTGAGACAGAATGATACAAGATCTGAAGGAAGGGTTGAAAGAAACAGGATCTACAGAAAAATGCAAAGCTTGGTATACATGAACTGCTCTGATGGCTGTAACGCTATCCAGAAGGAGGATGCTCTCTCCTATCAAGGCGGATCGTAAGCCTGTGATCTGCTGCAACGCTGCTGTTTGGCACGATGCACACCGAGGAAGAGAGCGTGCTGTGTTTTCACCCGGTGCCAACACAAAGGAAAAGTTACCCCGTTTGGATGAACGGATCTCTGCCTCCCTGACCAAGCTGTTTCTGAAGAGGTTCGGGTCCCTAAGACCACATCGCAGCTGTGACAGGCAAAATGGAAAGTGGGTACCAAGTTTTAACCACAGATTTACTTCTTACTAATATCCCTCTTCATCTTGAAATATGTACACTAACTGCCGATAAGCTGACGCCGTCTCTGCCTTGAGAAGTGATCTGCAAAGGAAGTGGTGTCAGTGACCCTTTTTGCTTCTTTGTACACATAACTGCAGCCTAAAACAAGTTTCGGTTTTGAAAATGGCTCCACGGTGTCTTTTAGCATGAAAACTATTTAAGCTGGTTGCCAGTTTTCAATCCCTGGAGAATCACCAGAGTATGAAGTCAAAGACAACAGGCAATGAAAACAAAACAAAAAATCTTTAGTCAAAACTGTTAAATGATTTAGACATCTTTGTAGATCAAGATTTTAACATAAACTTGAAAAATGCTTTGAGACACAGACTAAACAACGCCAACCCTTCAGCTCAAAGAACATTTTGAAAGTTTTTTCTGTTATGGGGCTCTGCTCTGAACGGCATCAGCAGGACACGGCTAACACCACCACCGGATTACAGGCAGCAGCAAATAGAGGATGGGGAGAAACATCCTCATTTCTCTTTGGGAGCAGGCTACAATCAACAACTATATGCAACTCCATTAGCTTTGTGTAGTTTAAACGCTTGGAATGGTTAGAAAGGAAAGCATGTGAACCCCTGTTTGGATCTTTGCTCTCAGCTGAATGAGAAAGTAACCATCTAAACATGCTGAGTACAGCCAGCTATGATCCGACTTGCTCCTACCTGATGGAGCACTGCAGTCTTTAGAATCATAGAACTGTTTAGGTTGGAAAAGACCTTTAAGATCATCAAGTCCAACTGTTAACCTAGCTCTGCCAAGTCCACCACTAAACCACGTCCCTAAGCACTACACATCTTTTAAATACCTCCAGGGACGGTGACTCAACCACTTCCCTGGGCAGCCTGTTCCAATGTTTGGTAACCCTTTCGGCAAAGAAATTTTTCCTCATGTCCAATCTAAACCTCCCCTGGCACAACTTGAGGCTGTTTCTTCTTGTCCTATCGCTTGTTACTTGGGAGAAGAGACC